TAAATTGGACTGCTCACAATCTCCTTGACAGGTTCATTTGGCACCTTTAGTTTCTCATTTTTGTATCAGCGTTCAAGCTCATATCGATAAACTGGGCTATTAATTGAATGTTCCATTGAGGATTGAAACGCCTTTCACCTGGTTAGTGGCATTCCGAAATGACCAACTCACTTACTCACTTGGCGGTGAGTCTGAGGATAGGAGGTAATCAGGAGTTAACAAAAAGTTGTGACTGATATTGAACTGATGTACGTGATTTTGAGCCCAACATCCCTTTTTCCACCGAACACTTCATTTCTTCACGTTAATGATCACTGAGCGTTGACCATGAACATAGATAAGGCAATCAAAACAACAGATTTGAGGGATTCCCTTGAATAATCGCTCAAATCTCAAGTTTGAAAACCTACGATTATACCTTCGTCCTTACTATGTCGAAAACATCCCGTGATCTGCGTTCTTGGTCAAGCATTTGGATTATACTAAGTCAATGTTGAAAATGTTCTTCATCCATGAAGAGAGTCAGATAACAAGTTTTTCTTGAAGAAGAATCAATTTCATGGTTACAGATCGTAACTCTAGAAGAGTAATATTTGGCACTTTTGCTGGCCCTTCTTCTATACATAATATGTATATACGCCAAAGAAAACACGCCTAGCACTAGCAAAAGGTATACGCATTCTTTTTGGGTTGTGAGCTAAGTTTTTGCTGTTTACACTTACCTTTTACCGAATTCCATTGCCATATCTCCACACAACTCGTGGAAATCACAAAAACCAACAATCTGCTCTCCATTGCTGATATTGAACGAGTTTAGTCATTCCGTTTGCTGAAAGCGCTGAAGTTCCAGAGACGATGAAGTCGGCGAGGGTCCTTTCATCACCATGCTGGATTATGTAGCATTGCTCCTTGAATACGCTATCCAGAGGGCTTCAAAAAAAGTGGGCAGTGAATAGGTCGGAGGTTTATTGAGTAAAACGTCCGTGGCCTAGTTCAGCACCGAGTTAGTTCATGTTCAGCAGGATTGCGGTTGGCGGTTGAGGTACAAAGGTGAGAAGAGTCGGCCCATTCATGGTAGCCCTTGTAGTGTAAAGGGTCCGAGGTATTTTGACTTGCTATGAATCGATCCATTGTAATCCTGATTCGAGTTAGAAGAAGAAACTGTGCGGATTCACTCGTTGAGCATGTATTCAGCTCTCTGAAGGGGTCGGTATGGCTTACCTAGAGCAAAGCTGACAGCATACTTGGATAGAGCAGAAAACGCGCTACCTAATAATCCGCAAAAGGGGAATAATGTGTCAAAAATTTGATCAGAAGTAAAGCACGAATCTTGAAGTGTGAGAAACAGCAAAGTCGAGCTCATGATAGAGCAACCGTATTTGCCTATCGTGCTAGTCTCAAACACTTTCGCTGTAACACCTCGACTGCTAATGAATATCTAGTGTTAGCGGAGGACCTAATCTGTTTTCATAGCAGCGGATGAGAAGACGGAAACCCTAAAATTCTTTTTAAGATACTAGCTATAGACATAATCTTGTTCATAAATATCCTCTTCCTTTACACATCCATACACCCATATTTACGCAATTTATTGACGCAGTTTATTTGGCCATAAATATTAATTTTCTGGAGAGAAGATGAAGCAGGCCTGATGAATCCTGACAATTCTCTCGCTATCGTTTTAGCATCAATTTCGAACTCCTGTGAATTCAATGCGAAGACTTTGGTGGGGACAATCACTTTCAGTGGCTTATTTATTTATAGGCTCCTGTTGATCAGTTGGCAGTCAAAGTGCATTGTCGTAAAGTAGTTGCCTCTGTGAAGGAATAGACCGCGTGATGATCCGCCTTGTTGTGAGAGTCGGTTTCAAACGACGCAACAGCTAACATGGAAAGGATGGTAGGTCGAAGTGGCCGTATAAAATGAGATGTGTA